TCTGTCTCTTTCATTCTCCTCTCCCCCTCCTGCCTCTCTTGCCTTCTGCCTCTCTCTCTGTCTCTTTCATTCTCCTCTCCCCCTCCTGCCTCTCTTGCCTTCTGCCTCTCTCTCTGTCTCTTTCATTCTCCTCTCCCCCTCCTGCCTCTCTTGCCTTCTGCCTCTCTCTCTGTCTCTTTCATTCTCCTCTCCCCCTCCTGCCTCTCTTGCCTTCTGCCTCTCTCTCTGTCTCTTTCATTCTCCTCTCCCCCTCCTGCCTCTCTTGCCTTCTGCCTCTCTCTCTGTCTCTTTCATTCTCCTCTCCCCCTCCTGCCTCTCTTGCCTTCTGCCTCTCTCTCTGTCTCTTTCATTCTCCTCTCCCCCTCCTGCCTCTCTTGCCTTCTGCCTCTCTCTCTGTCTCTTTCATTCTCCTCTCCCCCTCCTGCCTCTCTTGCCTTCTGCCTCTCTCTCTGTCTCTTTCATTCTCCTCTCCCCCTCCTGCCTCTCTTGCCTTCTGCCTCTCTCTCTGTCTCTTTCATTCTCCTCTCCCCCTCCTGCCTCTCTTGCCTTCTGCCTCTCTCTCTGTCTCTTTCATTCTCCTCTCCCCCTCCTGCCTCTCTTGCCTTCTGCCTCTCTCTCTGTCTCTTTCATTCTCCTCTCCCCCTCCTGCCTCTCTTGCCTTCTGCCTCTCTCTCTGTCTCTTTCATTCTCCTCTCCCCCTCCTGCCTCTCTTGCCTTCTGCCTCTCTCTCTGTCTCTTTCATTCTCCTCTCCCCCTCCTGCCTCTCTTGCCTTCTGCCTCTCTCTCTGTCTCTTTCATTCTCCTCTCCCCCTCCTGCCTCTCTTGCCTTCTGCCTCTCTCTCTGTCTCTTTCATTCTCCTCTCCCCCTCCTGCCTCTCACTCTCCCTTTCTCTTCTCCTCCTGCCTCTCCCTCCCCTCCATCTCTCCCCGCCCCCCTTTCTCTTCCCCTCTTACGGTGGCGCGCGGCTGAGTGCTGCCTGCCATGTACGTCACCACCCCACCCCCAAATGGCCCCTTGCGCTGCTGGCTTCCCCGCATCTGCCCGGCTGAGGGGCGCAGCACTCAGTGCCACAGCGGGAGGGGAATGGAGGACGGTGAGGTATATGGCCACGCCCCCTGGCCATGTACATCAGCACCCCGCCTCCCTTCTCCTCCCATCGGTGCCCAGCTGAGCGGTACAGTGCAATCGCCGCTCAGCTGGGCCCTGGTGGAGGAGCAAGCGACGGCAAGCGGCTGTTTGGGGTCCGCGCTCCCCATGCGTGGGGAGCGCAGACCCCAAATGGCAGCTTGCCGCCGCTTGCTCCTCCACCAGGGCCCAACTGAACGGGGCAGTGCTCAGCGGAGCGCCCTGGCAGGAGGAGAAGGGGGGCGGGGTGCTGACGTACACAGCCAGGGGGGGTGGCCGTGTACGTCAGCGTTACAGACTCAGACACTGGGCTATTATTATAATAATTGTACATATTACTTTTTGTGAAGTTCTCAGATATTTTAACCAAAGAAGTATCATTTTACATATGGGAAACTGAAGCATAAAGAGTTGAAGTGAGTTGTCTGAAGTCACTGAGAAGACTAGTAGCAAAACTAGGACTAGAATTCAAGTTTCCTGAGTCCCAAGGCAGTGCTCTATACACTAGTCAACAATGTTAATTGTTAACGTAGTAGCAAAAGGAAACCTGGCAAACGTCCCATTTTCTAGAACAACTCTGTTCTCTTTATGTATTTTAGGTATTTATAATGCACCCATTGCTACAGCACTTAGATCTTACACAAAGCAGTAGGTATTGTCCTTATTCTGTCACTATTATTTTTTCCTTTTGGAAAATTGTTTTTGGCATAACCAAATATTCATAATTAAATACCTATTTTTCGTTATGCTATCATGCTGATGAATGCTCATGAGGTACTACATGCTTCTTTGAGCTTTGGAGAAACATCAACAAATTATATGGATATGTGTATCTCAGGCCCTGAAATGTGATCTTCCTTTTCTTCCATGTGGAATTGTGTTGACTTATGTTTATGTAGATGCATTGCTTTGCAGGACCAGGATCTATTTGAACTCTTTGTTTTCTACAGTATGGTCTAGATCCTGCCCTGATTTAGAAAAGCTTTGCAGTCCTTTCACTGTGCAAAGGTGCCGCAAGTGATAGACACTAGAAGATTCTCTTTCTGAATGGAGAATTCTAAGGTGACCTAAAGATACTGTAACAGATGCTGTGCCAACCAATTCCCAACCGCTGGCACCAACAATTCCAGACTGTCAGAGAGTGGTGGAGTTATGTGGCAGCAGACATAGATTGCGTTAGTTTTCAAATTGCTCTAGTTTATGGTAGGGACCAGACCAGCACATGGATGGCCCCTGGATTAGCAGACCATAAAGGTAATTTAAAATTGCCTTTGTCTCCCTCTCTCCATTGTTATGCAAAGTGCTGCTCATTGGCAACTCAGGATCGGGAGAGGAGAGGAGGGTCTCTCACGTGCACGCACATTTTCTTCCAGGAGATGATCTATAAGCTGATGACTTCAATAGGATTGCGTGGGATCTGACTCAGTACAGAATCAGTCCCCTTTACTCTCTCTCTTTCCTCCTCACCAACTCTTAAACTGTTTCAAAGATACCTTCATGTATTTGTGTCATTTCTGCATGATTTATATACCTCTACTTTTAAAAAAAAGCACAGACATAGAATATATTTCTCCGTCTTCATATAGTCTTCTCTTCACTACCAAGGAGTATGCAAGGGAGAGAGTCAGCTGAAAAACCTGTTTTACCATCTTCCAAAATGCAGATTTTGGCAATAGAAGGGTATGTAATTTAAGGCCACCCAATGGGTCATTAACAAATCCACTAACAAGTTATATGGTGTTTCTGGGCCCATTTACTCTGTTGTTTAATTTGAAAAGTTGTTACCATGAGAACCAGGTTGTTTTTGTGCTGACTCTGGGATAAAGAACACCTGTTAAACTCTCTCATATCAGCTGTCAGAATTCTCGTATAAGAAGTGCATTTTTATTCAGCACTGGATAAAACAGTGACCACAAACAACTGAAGGCACATACTACAGGTATCTGCAGAAATCTCAGCAACATGACACTAATTGATTTTACACTTCTAACATGCTGTAAATTTGTGCTTCGCCTATTTGTTTCATCACATCATTTTCAATTAATGTCTTAAAGAGGAACCGGACTCCTTCGATTACATTTGTTTGAATTCTTCTATGTTTTTAAGAATGTGTTTCTAACCCATTGTCTATCACTGACCTGTCCATTTGTGTGTTTGAGTCTGTGGTGTTGAGGTGCAGGGAGTTCCGAGCAATTGCATTTTTTTCAGAGAACATGTAATCTTTTCAATTTTTCAGAGAACATGTAACATGTAATAGTTATCATGGCTTTTACCTTTGCCTCCTCTTTAAGAACCCTAACAATCTCTCCATTTCCCCTGGTTTTTAATCTGTTATCCCTACACTCAACACTGTTTATTTTTTCTGCTCGGAACTGGTTTCCTTTTCAGAACTCACCAATGTCACAGCTTAATTGCCCAGAGGGGGCAGCACTGAGTGATAAATATTCCTAGCTTGCAAGGTCTGAGTGAACTGCATCCACTGCATTCCCAGTCTGCCTCCTTTCAGTGAGCCAGCAATCAGTCCTGGACTTGGCAGCTGACGTGCCCATGTACTAATACAGCAAATGGCCACTATACAAACTCGTAACTTAATATTTGAGTCTGGGTCGCCAGTAATTTAATGGTGTATTAGTAGCCATCCTAACCCCTCTGTTCTTAATGGCCTACTCATGTCTGGTTTCTCTGCTCACTTAAGCTACGTCTAGCCTGCAGGCTTCTTGCTCAAGAAGCTTTTATTGGTAGACATCTTCCTCTAAAACTTCTTGCACAAGAGCATGTCCACACTGCAAAAGCGCACCGAAAAAGCGATGGGCTTTTGCGAAAGAGAGCATCCAGACTGCATGGACACACTCTCGAAAGTAAGCACTGATTGGTATGCACAGAATGGCCACCAGGGCACCTGTGCTTTTTCCTCTTTCTTCTTTTTGCTCAAAACCCCCCTCTTCCGCGTCTACACACGCTTTTTTGCTAAAGAACTCTTTTGCAAAAAGGCTTCTTTCTCGTAGAAAGGGGATTACCAATTGCGCAAAAAAACCCTCCGTTCTTTCGATTCTCTTGCACAAAAATGTGCTTGAGAAGTGGACACTTGGTGAGTTTTTGCAGAAAAATGGCTGTTTTTCCGCAAAAAACTCTGTAGTGTAGACATAGCCTAACTGGTGAATGGTAAAAGTGATTGCTGTTGTAAACTAGGGGTTCTCAACCTTTTTTTCTTATTGAGCCTCTTCACTTCAAACATGTTATAAAAACTCCATGGTCTAGTTGTGTAACTACAACTGTGTTTCTGCATATAAAAGTCAGGGCCAGTGTAAAAGGGTTGCAAGCAAAGTAAATTATCTGGGCCACACGTCACAAAGGGCTCCGTAAAGCTAAGCTTCTCAAACCTTAACTTCAGCTCCAGGTGATGGGGCTTGGGCCCTGAATTGCAGTCCTGCACAGTGGGACTTTGGCTTTCTGCCCTGGGCCCTAGCAACTCTAATGCTGGCCATGTTTAATGGACCCCCTGAAACATCCTCACGGCCTTCCAAGGGGGCCCAGAGCCCTGGTTGAGGACCATGGTGGTAACCTATTGCGCGCTAGAGGCTGTCTTCCCACATCTACTGCTCCCATAGTCTGCTATGAGAGCCAGGGGACATGGAGAGCAGATGGCGTCCACCACAGATAAATCAGAGATGGGTGAGCAGTATGTGGAGCCTGACTCTGCCAGCCCTTGCTCCTGCACAGTGCCCTGGTCTTACTGACACCCAACCAGGGCTCTCTAAAGTGTGGTTTACATTTCTGTCCAGAGAAACACAAGAACTATAATTCATAATGATCTCAAGAAAACAGAGACAGACATTTCAGATTCCTTATTTTCGTATGCATATATATTTTGCAGGTTCCGATTATAATACCATGCCACAGAGTGATTTGTAGCAGTGGACAGACTGGCAACTATGGAGGAGGAACTCATCTGAAACAGTGGCTTTTGTCACATGAAAAGCTTCAGAAAGAAAAGTTAGCATATTGATGCAGTTCAGCCACAGCTGTTATACAGCCAAAACACATAACCAAAGATACTTGGCTTATAACAAGCTTTCAGAACACACAGTAGAATTCAGGAAAATGGTAAATATTTGAGTGACATATAAATATAATACAACATCCGAAGTGAAATGTGTGGTGGCACTACTATATTAAAAAAGCTGGATGTGTCCTAGGGGACGCAGCTTGTATGCCCTTTCTTGTTTTTACATTTTACAGCAGAATGAGTACAGCGGACTGTGCCTGTTGTGCATGTATTTTGTTCCCATCTCCAGTCCTGTTTTGTTCTATTTTTAATGTCCATTAAAGCAAGGATAAGGGAGTGGGAGGGGCATGGCAAATGTTAGGTGCAACTGCCCCTCTAAGGAAGCATCTGGCTCACAGAGGGGACAGCCGGCAGTCTGAAGCCTTTGCGTGTTTCTGAGAGCAAAATGAAATGCAAAAGCTTCAGCACACACCTCCCTGTTCCTGCCTCGCTTTGTATTTGTCCAGATTGAAAAGCTTGTACCTCTGCCAGGATTGGTGCCCAAGATTCTCCTGTTTTTCTTTGATGTTTGAACTGTTGAAATGATGTTTTACGTAAACAGTTGTTAATTAAACACATTGAGAATCATTCAAAAGGAAATGCCTATTGAATTGCCTATTCACAGCTTTTCTTTTCAAATTGTTGGAGATGTTTAAAAGATACGAATAAAAATTAGTTTATCTTTTATTGACATTGCAGTCACTAGTCAGTAAAGAAGATTCTGGAAAATTATTTTATGCCAAATAGCTTTTTTCCAAGTAAGCAATTAAGATACAGTAGCTTGCTCAAAAATTTAAAATGGTTATATTTTTGTATCAGTAATATTGTGATTTTTACTTATTGTATTTAGCTTTCAAGTGTATTATGCAACACTCTGAGTACTTAGGAATAAAGCTTTTTTTTTCCAATATAGGTTATCTATAGAAAATGTAGGCAAAGGATATTGAAGGTAAATTTTCTGATTACTTAAAAAGGATTCCATGAAAATAAAATATTACAAACTACCAAGAGCTGAAATTTTCAGTCTGGGAATCATAAATTATAACATGGAAATACTGATTTTATAGGGGGTTTTCACATTCTCATAGGTGTCTCTTTAGAAAGCTCATTGCTAACAAAGAAATTTCTGTATTATGTTACAATGTATTACTTTGTTAATGCAGCATTATTGATATCTTACCTTTTTAATAAAGTTATGTTATGCATGTACATGTTTCTGTGGGTATGTGTGTAAATAAAATGCAGTACATGATGTATGGAGAAAATAAACTATACCCAACTGTACAATATAAGGCTGTATTTTTATCAAGGGTTTCTGGTGGCAATATAAACCAAGAAAGCAAAGCTCAAGTGGTTTGTACATGTCACCAGAACCCTGAGATAAAAATATAGCCTTATAATATGTACAGTTTGGGTGTATTTTATCTTTTATAATATGTGGATACCAACAAGCGAGCACAATGCCTTCTGCAAACTTTAAACTTTTTCAAATATTACATCACTTGCTTCTTATCTGTAGATATTTACATTTGTTTTGCCAGAAATGTGTCCTTTTGAATAGTAAATGTGAATGTCATGAGGACACTGTCATATACAGTAAGTGTAAATCATTCAACATGTAGAGGAACAGATTTTTAGCAAAACCTCAACACGGTCTCCAGTTTTATACTTCAACTCACATACACAAATATTTGCAACTATAGTTTGTGTCCACAACCTTTTGCAGGTGCCATTTATATCATTAGGCTGTCTAAGCATTTGATTGTACTTGGGTACTTACATCATTTGGACCTGCCTGTTTTTTGAGCTCACAAGTTTATGAGGATAAAACTGAAAACCAGGAGATAGACAATGAAAAGTTTAACAATCAGAACATATTGAGAACTAAAATTTATAATTTCATACTGTAAAACAGAAGTTTATAAAAAAGAAACTATATCTGGTATGCAACTTGTTTGCCTACGTGTATATAATAATATAATTATAAAATAAGTACATTTGCTCCTGAAGCTTTATTCTGAATTTTTTTCTTTTTGTGGAATTTTTGTACTTGTTTTCAAGATAAGTAAAATTTAGGTTGAAAATTATTGCAGGGCTATAGCAACATGCTATTAGTTTCAGATATACAGGAAGAAGCTTTAGAATGATAATAGAAATTCTCTTATTATAAGCATACTGTTTTGTTGTCTAGGCAGCCTACATTTATGATCTTGCATACTGTTGTTTGTTTTTGTGTTGTAGGCCAAGCTGCATATTCTTTGTCTGCATGTTTTCCAATAGAGGGCACTAGAGCTTAGAAGAATTAAATGCATGTGTTTTACAATGTATTTAGACCCTCATTCACCACTTTTTTTCCTCTACTGTTTAAGAATGAATTTGAAAATGAACAGCGGAGTTGAAATCTCCGAGCTGCCCTATTTGCAATGCTTCAGACAGTCTGCCTCAGGAATTAGCTGTCTAGTATTATTACAGTCCTGCATTCTGCATCCCATGTATGTATTGTGAAAGGTGCTGTAGTTAGATAGTAAGATGAAGAATGGCCTTTCTTTGCCAGTGATTTCAGAGATTGCTAATGATGCCCAAACTGCAGACTGGTATGACCACTAATGAAGGGCACTATGACACAAGAACCTCTAGGGGTTCCGTTTCAAGGAGGGGAATCCACATTGCTACTTAGGTATACTGTTAGCATTCTCTCTCTCTCTCTTTTTTGTAATAGTGCTGATTTCCTTGTATGATATCTTGATTCTGTGCAGTACTCTGGCCAAATGACCCTCCATGATGAAATACTTAGAACAACACAAATGAGCTATTGAGAATTTGCACCTACTGAAACTATACATCAGGTAATTCTATTAGGACTCTTTCATACTCTTGGCAAAATCTGTGCATATGTTACATTCCATACCAGTGTTTTTGAATTATCAGAAGTGTAGCTTTAAAAATAATTTATCAGAAAAAAAAAACCCAAGGAAGACTGGGATTTGGTTTTGGCCTGCTGTTGTTGTGTCACAGCAGTACAATACCAGTTTTCTGTTTTCTGTCTCTGAGGGTTTTCTCTGCCTTGTCATAAGAGTCTTGATATATGCCCTGAAGTTTCCACTAAAGAAGGCAACAGCATGGTTCAAACTGGCATTGTTTTGTACAGGTCTGAGTACTGCTATGAGAAGCCAGTAGAAATTAACATAAAAAGCAATCACTTGGAGTAGCCTAAAGCCTATTCTGGCGAGAGGTCACAGCATAGTTTATGAAAATATAGAACTAAAGAAAAAGTATTTTTTTTTTAAAAAAAAATCCAAATAAAAAAAAGCTAGAAAAAGGAAATCTATGTTCTTTTTTACTTGGAATTGGGTTCCACTGACCTATCAAGTTTCCTCCCATTCAGCCTTGCATTGCTTTGAACTGCTGACATTGAGACACTGTGCAGCCAGGCACGACAGCTGGCTCTGCAGCATCTAATACCAACACATGCTGTTTTAGCCCATTTCCAGAGACTAAGATAATGAAAGATTCAAAAATAATATTTGTTTTGGCGGAACTACATTTATAATGAAATAGATGCCCTTGACCATGGGAGAAACTGAATTTTGCAATGGGTCATTCTTTTCCTCCTTTTTTTTTTTCTCCTTCCATAGAAAACATCATCTACAGCAAACCTAAACACAACAGAGATGTTTTAAAAGAAATATGTTGTGTTTTCTGCATTAGAAATACAATAAAATTGCATCCGCACTAGTTCTCTTTTATACCCAAATGAAAAATGCAGATTACATCCTATGTATCAGTACCAAATGATAAAGGGCCTCAGGCTTAAAGATTGTTACAGATCACTTTCATGCAAGCACAGTTTTTGAAGAAATGAGCTCATACTGTAAGCATCTTAAACAGTAAACCAATTCATTGTAGTCATAAGGACATTTTTAAATGTAAGCCCAAATTCTGTTCTCCCTGTTCGTGTAAGCAGTCCCATGAGAATTAGTGAAACTTCTTGTCTTGGTCAGAAGAGCAGGATTTGGCCTATAAAGTGTATATTTAATTTTTCTTCAGTAATTGCCAGATACCAGATTATACTATGTTCACTTCCATGTTCTTTAATTCATATTGATGTTAATTTTTTAACATATTTATTTAATAACTAACTGTGGACATGTTAGATGAAGAATAATATTATTGTCAGTATGGTTCTGATTATGTTAAGCTATGGACATGCAAAAACAAAATAGCAACATCAAACTACTGTTATTTATAAATATTACCAAACATTTATCCTTTATCATATTTCACTGTGTCTTACCAAATTTAGAATTTGATAATACTGATAATTGTACTGGATGTGATGCATAATGTAAATATATTTTGCATTAAGTTGTCTATTCTGTCTTTATTTCTACATGTGAAAGATGGTATTTCTGGACATGTTTTCTTTTTTAAAAAATGCAATATAAGAGTAAAATCTATAAAAAGAGAATGCTTAAAAACTTAAAGCACACTAATCCAATGGGAGTCCTGTAAGATTTATGTGCTATCTCAAGAGTAATTGCTCAGTAACAATCTTATAGACATGTAAAAATCTTTGAAGAATTGCATTTACAGATTTAATTGTAATTCCTGTTATATTCTAACATAATTGGCATAGAATTGTATTTAAAAAGCTTCTCTTTAGTACTCTTCCCCTTGTTCAATCACTGTAGATCTCCTTTTCTGTTTAACTGTGACTTGCTTTGAAAACAATGGAAAATATTACTGACAGTACATTCAGTTGCTATTAAAGTGGGCAGGATATTTTAGTTACATTGATGTGCAAATCGGTCATACTGGCTTTATAGCTCGTCAAAAGACTGTGTGCTATTTGTGTTTCAAATAACATACATAGTGTATGAGTAATAAATATGCTTAATACAGGATGTGAAAAAGTAGGAGGATTTTTTTTTTTCAATTTTCTCCCACAGATTTTTCCGGAAGGCCTGCCATAATACAAACTTCCCCCATCCCGCATTCTTAATAGTTTTAATGTTCTGTGGTTCTCTGTACTAATGACATTTTGTTCGCATTTTTCTTTTCATTGTACACTATTCGTCAGCAAGGGAGAACATTCTATGCACTGAGATATTTTAGGATTTAAAATAGTTTGCTTTTTTTAAAAAAAAAAATCTTGATCTTGCTTGTTGGTGGGTTGTTTTTTGTTTGTTTTTTCTGTTAGGGGTTTTTTCCCCCCTATTTAGCTGGCTTTTAATTAAAATGTTGGTGTTTAAGAAGCTGATGTTAACAACAGTTTTATTCTTTATCAGTTTTGTAAGTATGAAGGTTTAAAATGAGCTCTGTACAGAGTGCTGATCCAGAACAGCCTCTGGTCTGTGTGAAGTAATGTGTAGGTGGCAGTTAAAAGCTGAAGCCAGAGACTGGAGAAACTGCAGGTACTGATGTGTCTTTAAGTGACTAAGGGAAGTAGTCCAAAGTCTTCTGGACCAAGTGGCACCAGCTGCAGACAGATGGGGAATGTCTGGGCTCCATCACCCTCAAGTCTGCTCAGACAAGGATCTATATATTAGGGTGGGTGAGTGGATAAGAAAGTAAGAAATGGTAGCTGTGTGGTAAGGTGAAAATTGACGTGAGCACAGTGTACTTGACAGTGCCTTTGATTGATGAAAGGATATTGTTAACAAGCCTTTAAAGTTTCTCATTAATGTTTTTTCATTGAAAAAAGCCACAAGAAAAAAATTCCACATGGACAGTAATTAAGATCGATCCCATACAGTATGTTTAGTTATCAATTTTTAAAAACCTCTTTAAGAACCTTATTTAGTTATTTTAAACAATGCTTTCTTTTTATTTGTTGCAGTGAGCAGGCCTTGAGTGCTATAAAACTGTGTTGTGAACTCTAAAAACTACTAATTATAAAAAATACAGAATCCCATTTAGGTATGTTTTTAAAAGCTTTCCATATGTTTTAATTTGAAATACAAGAAACCAGACAACAGTAGGCCAGATTCACTGCAGCTCTTGTCTGCTTTGAGCCATCAGAGAAGCACAAAAGAGCCAGAATGTGGCAGTGAATCTGGTCCGGTATAGGTAATATGTAATGTATGTTGCATGAACTATGACACTATCCTTCTTTGCTTTGTGAATCTATCACTGTTGTTTTGTTTTTACCTGGAACCTACAGTGAGGTAATGAAAGTAGTTGAGAGTTATATGTCTTTTTCTCAATGAGTAGACATCAATCCACTATTCTAAATTCAATGGGAGATCAATCCATGGGAGCGCTTGGTCTCGGCATGAGACTTGGCCATATCCCAGCATAGGACTCTGTGAAGGACTGGAGGCTTATTTGTGTTTTGGGATTAGGCAGGCTTCTTTAGAACACAAATTAGAGATAAACACTCACTGAAGTTAAAAAATGACTGAAAAGGCCAATATATAATTAAAACAACCATAACATAAACTCCCGACGTGAAAATCTTTATAATCATTGAAAAGTGGAAGCCTCTTCCATAACCTGCATGCCCCAATTTTGTCACTTATCTAATAAAATTAGCCTTGTAATAATAATTTTCACTTTCCGATGAATATCAAGACCACTTCACTCAAAATATAAAATCAAAATGGCCCATTTTCAATTGGTAGTTCTTTATCTTCCGTTTGTGCTTATTCTCATTGGAGAGTGCCCTCAGCACAGCTCTTCTGAATTATCATTAAGAGTGAGCTACTTGATTTAAAGGAGGGAGGAAAATTGTTATTGGCCAAGGAGATACAAGAATGTAGGAACAAAATGTTTTTTCTAATAAATCTGATGAATTTGACTCAAATTTTTAAAAATCTATCTGGCTAGAGGAAGATTTGCTTTACAATGTATCATGTTGTTTTCATTAGTTTGTGCTGTGCTATGTCTCTTGAGCTAATGGATAGTTTGCCACACACCGATAATGGCTAAGTTTTAAAAAATAAAACCTAAAACTAGGCCCTTAAGTCTTAGGATAGATTTTCAAAAGTGTTGAACTTTTGAAAATATGGCCACTTAGGTATCTGTCTATAGATTTTTTTTATTTGCTGGACTATTCTTTTTTGGAAGATAATAGGCAGCTAAAAGTCTTACTAAATACTACAAAAAAAGTGAACTACAATAAAATCACCCTCCGTCATGTCCAAAGGAATCAAATACTATACTCTCTTTAGAATGCAGTAATAGTAGATGAAGTTTGATTACAAGAACATCACATATTTACTAATAGATCAAACATTATTGATTATGCAGGTGGAATAACACTTTGTCTCCAAAGTGTCTACATCTTAGAGAGCCTGTAGTTATAGTTGTAAAGTTATGGTTATTTGGAGTGAAAAATATTATGTAATATAATCTACTGGATTATTAAATTAACTAACCTCTTTTTTATAATCTAATACCTGACCAAATAGCACTGAAATACACGCTCCCAGAAATAACATCTCTTGCACTAATTCACTGGAACAGTTACCCTTTGACTTAGTATATTTCATAACATCTTCCTAAATCCATGTTAGGAACTTGCTACTCCTAGGAGAATTAGAGGATCTGGGCAATAGTCATAAGCTTGTTTGCTGCTAAGCAAACACCAGGGACTAACTTGCATGAATAGAGAACAAGCTGGGAACCTAGAGTAAGTGAAGGAGAGAAGAGGCGATCTGACACAGACCACACTCATAAGCAAATACTGGAGATCATATCCCAAAATTGTTTTTCTGGCCATTTCTGAAGAAACTCCATTAAAGTAGTTGGTGATCCTCTGTATTTACACTAGGTTAAATGAAATTAGAATTTGGCCCTTATTCCTCTAATTTCACACAGACCTTTTAGAAAATATCTTTGGTCCAAAAGGAGGGTTATAGAGTATAGCTCCTATGCCTCTGTAAGGAGCTTCTTCAAAATTCAATCGTATTGTATTGTATAGTAGGAAAACCACCTATTTTGGGAGTGTATGTATGTTTCCAACTTTCTGAAAGAAAAGATCTGATCTGAGTCTACTTTGTAAAATCTACCTATTTCTCCATTTATCCAGAAGTGTCTCTTCCTCCTACTTTTCTAGTCAGGGATCATGTCATAACTACCTCTCCATTTATGCAGACATAACCAGTACATAATACACAACATACAGAAATATGGTGTCCACAGATTTAGACAAGACAAATGAAGGTGATGGGAGCTAATAAACAGGATCTCAACCTGGTTTTGATCTTATGCAGTTGCCATAAGGCAGCTCAAAGTATGGTCTGTAACCATCTTGCAGGTGGGCCATAGGCTTGCTGCCGCTCTCCCTCGCCACAGCTGGGGGAACAGGAGTACAGGAAACCATGTGTGTGGAGTCTTTCCCTGCTGCTCCCATTGGCTGAAATCACAGCCAATAGGAGCTGTGCAGTGCCTGGGAGCAGCATGAGCTGTGGAGCCAGGTAAGCATGCCTCATCCCCCTCATGCCCAGAGCCTGTAGCCCTACCCCCTTCCCACCCAGATTCCCCCCACCCTCAACTCGCTTCTGCATCCAACTTCCTACCCAGACCTTGCACCCTCAACCCTCCTCTTACCATTTTGTCATGATGGGTGGTTGGCTAGTGGTCCATGGAAAGGTCTGCATTGAGCAGGGTGGGTCACAGGCCAAAAAGTTTGAGAACCAACCAAATACATAAGGAATGATTACCCAGATATGCTTCCACGATCGTCCAGCCCAATAATAGGAATTTGGACTAATATTTCAAAATTATCTGATTAAGGTTCCAGACCACAGCAAAATTATGTCTAATGTCCTATTGCTCTATGCTTGGGTATGAGCTCTCCAAACTAGCCCCATGCTGTCACTGGACACACATGCATAATAAATAAAATATGCTTCCACACAAGCACACTTCCTGATGGCCTCCAAAGAGATGAAAACCCAAAATCCACCTAGCCAGTTCCTTGAAGAGGGGAATTCCTTCCTGACATCATTCCAGAATCCACTAGTAGTGATGATAAACCCCAAACTCTTTAGTAAACCAGTCCTAGCACCACTAATGCCCCAAAATCATGCAGCAGGAAAGGGTTCTAAAAGGATGGCTCAGCACAAAAATAAATCCAGTTGTATTTGGATGCTGAAGTACAGTACAGTCTAAATGTAGCCTCCACTCTTTAAAT